TCTCTGAAAACACAGGCTTATTTACTCTTGGTAAGACAGGAGTTACAAGAAGTTCGAGGACCAAGCTATTATGATTCTTAAATTGCCTCCGTTTTCTGGAAGAGGTCGTCACACCTTCAAGGTCTGTTCTCTTCCCACACAAAGCTCTTCTGTGGGGTGGAAACTAGAAACTTCTGGCCTTATCAGGAAATGAGCTTCAACCAGGTACAAACTGCCCTCTTCTGGAGTCCTTCAGCTGCCTCTGCCTTCAAGACAGTTTTGTATGTCAAAATATGTAAACTCATAGCAATAAAAGACTATGGGAACTAAACATGTGAAAAGCCACCCAGGAATTGAACATTAGAGAAAGGTATGGTTATTTTGTGCACTGATAACTGACAGGTTCCTATTTTTAATACGCTGCAAGAGAGCTGAGGCCTGGTGACGTCGGTCACCTCTGTGCTACACACATTTGTAACGACAAGGATGTCCTGAAAGCAGAGAGCCTCAGGTAGAAACATCAGCCAGGCGGTGGGGCAGAGTGTGACGCATTTGTGCTACATCAGTGCCACCCCTGGGTTCAACAGCAACTTGAGTCCCTGTGGGAACAACACTCATCAATTTTACCTCTCAAAACATTCTCATCTCCAAACTGAGCCAGTGGATGAACATGCTGCGATAGGAAAGCTGTACAGTCATAAAATATTATATTGTCATCATCAATTCACGTTTCCAGGGCATTGACAAATGTGTCCATCCTAAACTACGAGTACCATCGCTGTGACGATGAGAAAATGTAAATCGAGGACTGCGTCACGTCACTGGCATTTTCTTCCTTTTGGGGGCAGCACCTTGAGTCTGGATGGACAGCTGAGGATACACATTTCCTGAGGGCAAAACACAGGGAGGTGCTGGCCCTGCCCAGTGTGACCTGGCTGGCCCACTGCGGGGAGCCTTTACAGCGCCGCCTCTAAGAATTCTGAGGTGAACACAGCTTCTGCGTAATCTTCACACACATCCTGAAGTTCAGCAGCCACGGTCCCCAGAGCTTCATCTACCAGCTCTTCTGAAAAGCTGGAAGATAAACAACACAGCTAAAGGTAGTTCAGCCAAGTATGGGAGCCATTCTTTCACTCAGCGGGGGAACTTACATGTCAACTGTAAGATTTAAACAGAAATTTGAAAGCCCAAGAATAGCCAAGATATTTGAACAAGGAAAACAAAGTGCGAGGATACTCCAAATGTGTGTTCTCTCTCCTCCCCACGCACATTTTTCCCCCCAGTTTGAGAACAATCCGAGACTTGACAGCCCTCAAATACTCTGTGTGCATTTCCTAAAAACAAGGATGTTAAGTTAAACATGTAACCAATAATATATTAATGTTACATGTAATTATAAAAGTGGTAAATGTAACACTGAGAGAACATTGTACTCTAACTTTTCTCAAATTTTGCCAACTGTCCAGATAATGTCCTTGGAAAGGAAACTTTTGCACTCAGCTGTCAGGCCTCTAGTCAAGTCTAATCTGCAACTGTCCTCCAGTGTTGGCCTCCCATGACCTTAACGTTTACTTAAAGGGTAAAGGCAACTCTTGTAGGATGTCCCTTAGTTTGGGCTTGTTTGATGTTTCAAGCCAGCATTTTGCAAACAAATGCCACAGATGGGCTACCGCTATTGGGAGTGACCAAAGATTTACTGACAAGGACTGAATCAGGGCGGTAAATCTTTGGTCACTCCCAACACTGCGCCCCTCAGCGCATGGGTTACTCCTGCTACTGTGTCCATTTCTCATCTCTCCTTATGGGGATCCCTGCTAGGTTTCTCCCTTGGGGACTTGCTAGCTCCTCTCTGTGGTTAAGTATGTTGTAGGCGGGCACTCCGAATGTCCTCTGTGTTTAGTCTAGTCTGTCCTTGCTATTAACTTGGGCGCTTACTCTCACTATTCTTTTAGAGGCCACACTGATGACAGTAAGAATCCTTGACCGAAAATCTCACATTAGGTGAGAGACTCTTACCATATTCCTAGACCCCCAGGGACCTTAGAACTCCAGCTCCATGCATCCCACTCCTACCATGTGTACTATTCTTATCTTGTGTCTTAAAAGTATACAAACACTCCCCACACACTGTTGGGAGTGACCAAGTGCGGAGATTTACTGAGGGACTGGATAAGGGCAATAATAAATCAGGCCTTGCATCCAAAGGTGATAAGGTGGTAATAAACTGGGCCCTGCATCTAATTAACGGGTCCTTGCGTCAGGATGGGACTAGATGAAGGTGATAACGAACTTGGCCTCACAGCAATGAGTCACCCCTTTGAAATCTGAGCTTAGGACCTATATAGGAGACCCTTCCCCCTTATTGAGTTGGCAGCAGCAGCTGCGGACCCCACTCTAGGGGCTCCGTCTCGGCTGCTGTCCCAGAGCAATAAACTCTGCTTGCTCAGCCTTCTAAACCCCCGCCTTCCTTCTTGCAGCCGGTCACAGAAGTTGGGACAAAACACACACCAGTGAAACATTATCATTTTATAGAGTCAATATTCATTTACTACACATTGATCTTTTCCCCTTTATTTATGCCTTGCCATAACTTTGACCTTTCATCTGTGGCCAGTTCTGTGCTGTCTGAAAAATACCCTTTTAATATTTTCTGTGTGAAGGTCTACTAGTGATAAATTTTCTCTGCAGTGTTTATTTGCAGCCGCTCTTCCCTTCTTTATTGAAATATATTTCAGTGGAGTTAGAGCCCCAGACTGGCAGCTTTTTTCTTTCAGCACCTGAATAGAGAGGCCAGACCCCTAGGCTGCAATTTCTCTGCTGCTTTTTGTTTTCCCTCCAGTTTATTCTGGGATTTTCTCTTTGTCTTTGATTTTCCAACCATACAATTATAGAATGCCCTGGTATGGATATCACTTTTGTTTTCTTGCCTGGGGCTTCTAGAGCTCCTTGAATACCTAGCTTGCTATCTTGTGACTCTGGGAAGTTAATGCTTTGGAGATTGTTTCTGTCCTCTCCTCTCCTTCTGGGACTCCAGCCCCGAGTACACTGGAAAGATCACTCTAGCCTTGGTGTCTCTTCACCTCAACCCTTCATGTGAATCTTTTCGACTGTTTCCAGGCACTCTGGATGGTTTCTTCTGTCCTAAGTTCCTAGTCTCTCTTTTTCCTTTTGTTGGGTCTAACTTGCTAGTGGGCCCATCCAACAAATACCTCAGGTCAGAAATTACATTGTTTAGTTCTAAATCGGGATTTCGCTGAATTCCCAGTTTTCTGTCTAAAGTCTGCGCGGTGTCTTTCTCCCTGTGGACACAGGGGGCAGTTACTCTAGTGTCCCTAGCTGACAGCTGTCATACTGGGAGCAGCTGTGAGTCTATCTTGCATTTGTTAGGCCTCTCTGTTGTCTGGTTAATTTCCCCCATATACTAGATATGGTACTTGAAAACTGCAGGAATAATTTAAGTCTAATGATGATGTTATATAGTTTCACAGATAATTTATGTTTGCTTCTACCTAGTGCCTGGGGGGCAATCAATTAGAATGACCTCAGTCCAACTGCAGAACTGAGACAACCTAGAGCTGAGTGGAGTCCCTGACGGGGCCTACTGGCACCCTGGTCACCCTTCCTTCCAGAGTGCCACCCTACTGCATCCCAATCAAAGGGGGAAAGTTCACCAAGGCAACTCCCCCACCCTGGCAAGCCCTCAGTCCCTCCTCTGTGCTCTGAATAGGCTGTGTCACCCCTGCCAGTCTTCTCCCCAAAACTGACACTCCAATGCCACACAAAGGGCGCTCACCTCCTGGTCTCTGTCTTCCAGGCTCCTGGCCCAGTTATTCTTCACTACCTGCTTAACTTCCTGATGCCTTTAAGTATCCACAATTTACTTTTTAACCTAGCTTTTCTATTACCGGTTATCCTCAGGGGGAGAGACATATCAAATTACCAAGTGTGTCATTACTAGTGCCAGAATTCACTGCCTTGTTTTTATATTGGCTTTGTGTTTCATACTCCTATCATAAATTCATCCTCAAACTCTAAAAGAAATATAAAAGCGTCCCTGATGCATATTAGATAACATGTGCATTCTTTTTCTCTCTCTCTTTTTTTTTTAAAGATTTATTTATACATACAGAACTGGGGTACAGGTCAGAGGTGCAGGGCAGTGAGCGGTTTCACCAGAGACAGAGTGGGGAACAGAACAGGCAGATCGACGAAGTACGATCTGAGGGGAGCAGCGGGCAGGTCAGGAGGGGCCTGCCGCGCGACGTGGATCACCTCCAGGGCAGATGGGAATCGAACTCATACTGCAGTGGCTTTAGCTTCTTAGTGCTGTGCTTTAACCTGCTGCGCCATCAGGGAGGGCCCTCTCTCTCTTTTTTAAACGTCCCCCCTTTAGGAACTATTCCTGCTGAATTCCCTCTGTCCTCCTAGTCTAATCTGGACTGGCCGCTTTCTATGATCACTCGGAAATTCCTATCTTGGAAATAACCTGCCGTTTTCCTGGGGGTCCTGTGCTGAGGTCTCAGTTTCCTAAATCCCAACCTCCTCTTTCTCAGCGTACACCTTGTGTTTGTGGCCTACAGTCTCGTGCACTGAGGAACAGTGTATGGAAACTAAATTTTTATACCTGACAAACCTAAAAATGTCCTTATTCTAACCTTATATTACACTGATAATTTTGATGCACAGAGTCCCAGGTTAAATTTTGGAAGTATGCTCTAGAATCTTCTGGCTGTTGTGCTACTGAAAACAACACGCTGTTCTCATTTCTGATTATTTGAATGTGCCCAGTGTGAACTCTCTGGGACCTTCAATCATCCTTTCCTTACATCAAGGTGCAATTTTAAACCCAAACAAGTCATTAATCAAGTATGAAGATAAAGATGCTTTCAAACATGTAAGTCTCAAGAGAGTTTTCTGAAATGCCCAAAGCAGGTTTGGTCCATCAATATGAGAGCATAGCCTCAGAGGAAGAGCAGGACTCTGACATGGCGGCAGGAGGCAGCCCAACACATGGGGTGACCAGAGCTATGCTGCCAGGCTCTGCATCCAGAGAGCAGCCAGGCAGGTGGACAAGGAATGAGAATCTCAGCAGAGAGTGAGGGACAGAAATCAACTGACACATCTGACTACAGAGGATATATATTGAGAGTTGTTGGCTAACGTGTGAGGGAAGTGAACGTATCTTTTAAAAATAAGAAGACACGGGCTCTCTGTGGTGGCACAATGGGAAGGACGCAGCACTGCAGGCTGGCCGCAGCCGCTTCAGTGCGGGTTTGATCCCCAGTCCAAGAGGTGACCACATGGCGCGGCAGACCTCTCCCTGCCCACCCGCTGCTCCCCTCAGCAATGTACTTCGTTGACCTGCCTGTTCTGCTCCCCACTCTGTCTCTGGTGAACCCTCTCACCACCCCTGCACCTCTGACTATACCCCAGCTCTGTATGCATAAATGAATAAATAAGTATTGCAAAAAAATAAGAAGAAGACACAAAAGAAGCAATGAACTCTGGAGTTGTGTTTGCAACTCGTCCAAGTGAGAAATATACTCTCGGCTTACCACTTGGGTCGCTGATACATGCCCTGTGTGTCTGGAGAAAGGGATATACACATGAGGATTTAAATCTGGGCCTAGAGGGGCGTTTTTAGGGTTATCCCACTCACGTCCTTTGCTTTCTTTGGCTGCATCAATAATAAACTAATATAAGGCCCTCCCTAGTGGCGCAGCGGGATAAAGCACAGCACTGAGAATCTAAAGCC